CATCCTGAGGACATGTCCAGCATACCTCATCCTCCTCTCGGTGATGGTGATGCTGAGTGGTTTTGTACCAGTTCTGTGGTATACCTCCTCGTTGGTAATCCTGTCTCTGTATGTTATGTGTAAAATTTTGCGGAGGCATCGTTGTTGGAAGGCATCCAGCTTGTTCCGCATTCTTGTTGTTATCTTCCATGTTTCACATGCATAGAGTGCAGTTGGTATTACTACTGACTGTAGCAGCTTGGTTTTCAGCACTCTGGATATCTTCCCACTGTTCCACACTGGGTTCATCCTTCTGAAGACTGATGCTGCCTTACCTATGCGGGCACTGATGTCTGTGTCTGTGTCCCCTTCTGCTGTCATGGTGCTTCCGAGGTATGTGAACTGCCTTACGTTTTCAACAGGCTCTCCACTGATGTGCAGGTTTGTGTTCGTTTGTTGATCTCCCACCTGCATAACTTTGGTCTTCTGGCAGCTGATCCTTAGACCCACTTTCCCCGCTTCTGTTTCTGCTGATGTTGTCATGTCCTGAAGAGTCAGCTGAGACTCTGCTGTCAAAGCAATGTCATCGGCGAAGTCTAGATCCGTGAGGCGTCTGTCCCCCTCCCAGGGTATTCCAAAGTCACTTCTACCCATTGCCCTGCGCATTACAAAGTCTATGGTGACAGTGAACAGTAGGGGAGATAAGACGCATCCTTGTCGCACTCCGGTGACGATGTCAAAGCTGTCGGTGTACCCTGCGTCTACCTTTACACAACAGGTGGATCCCTCGTACAGGCTTTTAAAGGCTTGTATCAATTTTCCAGGAACACCATACACCTTAAGTATGACACTATGACAGTTTCAAAGTTAATCTGGTTAGTTGAGTAACAGTTTCTATATGTTCACCTTCATCTATGAAAAAAATTAATTATTTTCCTTGTTTGTTTACAAAGATTTCTGATGTCTATAAATCAAAAATACCTGTCCAATTGCTTTTCCACATTCAAAAGATGTAGTACTAGTAACCGCTTGAGTGTGAGAACGTTGTATAATCTTAGAATGTGAGGAATTAAGGTTCATGTAGAAATGAATTACGTATGTCTATTTCAGTGGGCTTGGGAGTTGGGACAACAGTCCAGTCCTAGTGTGCGGGTCCCACTGCACTCCTGTGAACACTTCTACATTATAACCGACCCAGTGGCAGGAGCGAACATCACAACACCAGGTGGTGTCTTATCCTTAGAGAAATAGTTGAGAATTTGGTTACATTCCATACTTATATTACCATAAATTTGTGATCCTTACTAGAAGTCCTCTCATCATTGTCCTTATAGTTGCATCATTGTCCTTACATGTATAGTTGCACAAGATCCAGATGGCTATAACTACCTGCGGGAGTGGAATGGTGGATTTATCTGTGGTGGCTTTGAGCCCAAACCTAAACCTGTCTTCACTGACGGTATTCCTTCCCCGTTTGAGTTCCAACTGCTGGAGGAAGACTGGGATCATTTCCGTGAGTACCTCTGTTATAATATGATATTAGGTAAGTTCTGGTTAATTGAATTTGTGCACATGGTAGTCAAATAATATCCATTAGTTGGTGAGATTTGTAAGTGGCAGGTCAAAATATTCCTAATCACCCCCACCTCTTTCAGTTTTTACTTAAAATAGTAACAGTGACTTGTTTCCTCGTTGTACATTTCTTCCCACAGAGCCAGTTTTGGAGCAGATTCTACTCCGAATGCCAGCACTCAAGGAGGTCAAGGTGAAAAAGTTCCTGAATGGCCCAGAGAGCTTCACCCCTGACCTATTCCCCAACATGGGACAGGCTCCTGAGGTAGGTCATAGTTCATGGATATCTTCACCCCTGACCTGTTCCCCAACAACGGGTAGATTCCAGTTGTAAATGTTTCTCAAACCTTTATCAATTCTTTATTGAACTATTACATTATGCTCTTCACAAAGAAAATCATAAATTCATTTGATACATTGTTTTGAACCATGCTGCTAATAAGTTAACCAAGCCAGACACAAACTACTAGTAATGTCAGTAAAACATAACAGATTTAACAAAAATGTACTTCCAGCTGCCAGGCTACTTTGTAGCTGCTGGGATGAACTCAGGAGGAATCGCCAGTGCAGGTGGTGTGGGGAAGGTCATGGCTGAATGGATCATCTCAGGGGACCCTCCTGCTGGCACCTGGCCGGTCGACATCCGCAGGTTTGGAGAGATGCACAACAACAGGAGATACCTCAGGGAAAGGGTCAAGGAGATATTACGTGAGTCTTGTCTTAGAAAAATCCTTAAGCCTGTGACATTGTTAGTCATGTATTTATTTCAAATACAACAGTACCATCTTCTCTCGTTACATTTTGAGTCCTTGGTATTGTGAAAAAAGAAATTAATGTCAAATGGCACTTTTTAGATTAACACAATGATTCCTTTCGTGTTTCAGCAATGCCGTATGCACAGCCGTACCCCAAGCCAGAATTCCAGTCTGCCAGAAAGATGCGCATGTCACCCCTGTACACCACGCTGGAGAAGGCCGGGGCTGTGTTTGGGGTCAAGATGGGGTATGAGAGGGCCAACTGGTTCTCCAAGCCTGAGTCTGGTCAGTCGCTGGCAGCTGAAACATTCTCACAACTTTTTCACTTACAAGATTCAGATATAACCATGCACCTTGTCATTTTGCTTTGAACCAGATTTGAAGTCTACCGGCAGTACAGTTAATGCATTGTACTTGTCTTCTTCTTGTCTGTCTAAGATGATTTCATGGACGTCCCGTCTGGCTGGCAGGCAGGCCAGGGGACGTTTGGGAAGCCTCCGTGGTTTGATGCTGTTCGTGAAGAGTACCTGGCCTGTCGTCAAAACGTCGCCGTCATGGACATGTCATCCTTCACCAAGTTAGAAGTCCGAGTTAGTACAGACCTAGTGGTCCTTTTTGTCATGTTGTGGCCCAATGTTGTCTATACTGAAAATTGCATAGAATATAGTATCTCTTTTGATGTGAGCATCATAGAATTCTCTTGAATCTGAATATTATTTGCCTGTTGGTAAGCAGCAGGAGAGCAATTCTTTGGCTTCATGTTAGAAACAGACCACATCAGGCTGATGTCTGTATTGTCGTGTCCCTGATCAGTCTGCAGGTGATGAGGTGGTGACGTACCTACAGAGGCTGTGCTGTAATGAGGTGGATGTTCCGGTGGGGACGGTGCTGCATACCGGCATGCTCAACCACTACGGAGGCTACGAGAATGACTGCAGCCTGGCACGCCTAGCGGAGAACATGTGAGTAGACAGATAGAACCTGTCACTATTTGAGATGTGTAGGACTTTGAGAAGACATCTTCAAGAATTGCCACATATTGACAAGTACAATGTATTAGCATGATTGGTTGTAATGATTCATACAGATATGGCAACCGATGCAGCAGTTTTGTGTGGAAGAGCACTGCTGTTTTAAGTCTGCAAGAATCCTAGCGTAGTAAAGAAAAACTTAACATAAGTTTGCACAAGTCATGTTGACACCCATTCCTTGTCCCCCAAGGTACCTCATCATCTCACCATCCAATCAGATGGTGCGAAGCTGGGAATGGCTACACCGTCACCTCCCTAAGGAAGGGACCGTGCAAATCAGGGATATCACACCATACTACGCCGCCATCAATGTCCTTGGGCCAAGGTCACGGGAGCTGATGGCAGAACTGACGGACACGGTCACCATGAGCAGCCAGTACTTCCCGTCTTTCACCTGCAGGGTAAGGAGAAGTCCACAGAACTGTCTCTGCTGCTCTCATTCTCCACAAGATAAGGTCAAACAGTTCCAGTAAGTCTAGATCAGATGTAGTAGCATGTAAGAGTTCCCTAGCCTTGGTGCCATCCTCCGTAGTTTCCGCCAGCTCCATAATGTTGCTCGCTACCACAAAAACTAGCGACATTAGGGTGCTGACGGAAACTACGTAGGATGACACCCAGGCTAAGAGTTCCCTCCTAGTCCAGTTTAATTTCTTTATAAGTTGTCATCTTTAACTGTCACTTGTCCATATGTATTATGTTTGAATCTTTTAGGAGCTGAGTATTGGATTTGCCCCACGTATTCGTGCCATGAGCCTGAGCCACTCTGGAGAGCTGGGCTGGATGTTATATGTACCACAGGAGGTAGGCAGTCTCATGTCTTCACAATGATTGTAGCCAGGGAAAGATGTACAACAGTCAGTCACATGTTAATCCATGTTTGCTGAACACTTTTTTTGATAAAATTGCTATTCACATTTTGCGTCATGTTGTTTGTAAATACATTGCAGTGATCATTATTCTTGCAAAGGCTATTTATTATTACACAAACATGTACAAGTGTTGCCACCTGCTGATACATTTGTAAGATTGTTGCTTGTGTGATTCCTTTGAATGTAAAACATTGGGGACAATGCAATGTTTTGTCTGCACTGAATGATTCTATCCCTCCATCAGTATGCACTCCATGTATACGACCACATCATGCACAAGGGCAGAGATTTTGGCATCCGCAATGTTGGCTACTACACCATCGCTCATCTCCGCATGGAGCGGGCTTTCGCTTTCTGGGGAATCGACCTGGATGCATCTGTGACCCCGTTTGAGTGTCAGCGAGAGCACAGGGTCAAGTTTGGGAAGGTAGGAGACCTGTTTTTCTGTAGGTATGACTGAACATGTTTTGCTTTGGAAAACAAGGTGCCGGGATTGTATTTCTTGTCCGATAGTTATCTGTAGTCATGTTTTAGAAGCTCAGCAAGTTACGATAATGGTATAAGCCATGTTGTGCTGAGTTATAAAGCTCAGCATATCCAGACTCCAAAATAAAATGGCTTCATGCCTTACATCAGTGTCCTTAGGATTAAAAGATGCTTTGCTTTCAGGAATCAGAAGAAGATGTGAGTACCAGTTCAGAAATGGTAGTATGTACATGTACTTGCATCTGTTCAAACTCAACACAGGCTGAGACGATATCTTTAACAAACTTTGGGCTAATGTCAAGTGTTTTATGCTGGTGCTTTTGACATTTTTGAGGTGTACTCCCAACTTAATATCCTTCTCCAGCTACTTCACTGACATTTACATACCAAAGGTTAACAGGTCAGTGGTGTTCCATACTAGATGGGGTTTTGGTTATCACAGAGCTCTATTCTGAATACTCGCCATCTCTTTGCACACTTCTGGACATTTTTTACCCCATCGCAGGGAGTGGACTTCATTGGTCGATCTGCCCTGCTCAAACAGAAGCAGGAGGGAGTGAGGCAGAAATTTGTCATGTTCCTATTGGACAATCATGACCTGGAGAATGACCTTTGGCCTTGGGGAGGGGGAGCCAATCTGGGAGGGTGGAAGGGTCGTTGGCAGGACGACGTCAGCAGGCTATGGATACACTCTGAAGAAACAGGTTGGTATATTCTCGTTGGTATTTTTAAGTCGTACCACATATGTACGGTAAAAGCCACCCTCTGCATTTACATTTTCTGCTGTCTTACATACATAGGAAGTGTGACATATGGTTGATGAATGTAATTGTGGCCTCTGTAGGTCTGCCTTGGTTTTGTGCGCAACCCCGACCCACAGACAGGAGAACGTCAGGTCATCACCACCAACTTCATCACCAAGAGCAAGTTCGAGATCCAAATAGCAGGGAAGAAGTTCAGCGCTGCAGCACGGTTGTTCCCACCACAAATGTAAACTAAAGAATTCGGTGTTGCAAACTTTTTCATTGTGTAACAGTTCATGTGTATATACTCAGTCTATGTGGTCTAGATATACAGATGTCAAAGATAATCACAGATGCAATGTAAAGATTCTACTTGTATGTCAATGACTGCTCAACAGCAATATCTGCTGAACAGATCTAGACTGTAATGTTAATCACTTGGTTTCAATCAAGAACTTATTGATGGGGACCTTGCAAAATCTTGACCATTATAAAGTATTATACTCTTGCAAACTGCAAGTCCAATCCCTTCCCAAACTCTACTGTAGCCATGGAGCTGAATTAACTTGTTTTAGTGGTAATATGTGACTGGAAGATTACATGTACATTGTACATACTAGGGAATAAAAAAGCATAATTCTAAGAATTTCATCAGCATATCATACCTTGTCCTGCAGATGTTATTCTTTGCTTGTATGTTGTCGGTTAAGTGTTGCGTTATTGTCTGGTTGTTGTACTAGTAATTCAAATGTAATAAAAAGGAGCATGTCATACGGAATGTATTGTGTGAAAAAGGCTATTTATTTGTTGCGTATTTGTGTAAGAAGCTGAATGGTGCTGCTTTTGTTTGCATGTAATGCAAGTATGTTGTTGTACTTTGAGGGCTTGTTACTACACACTGAATAATCAAATCCCGGATATGTATGTATGTAATGACATACATGTAACCCTTGCCATGTGTAATAACTTTACATTTTGGGACT